GCAGAGCTGCTGGGGAGGGACAGTCCTGGCTGATTCCAAGTGGAACAGGAGCCGGTCTTCTCTGACTTACCCGTGGCACGCACAGGCCCCGTCACTGGTCCTGGGGTCACTCCCGTGGGGCCGAGGGGGCAGGGAGCTGGCGAGAGCCCCGGGGGACCCTCGGCCTCAGCTGCTGCCTGGCGGGGAGCCGCCACGTCCGTGTTCTCTGGCAGGAGACCCGTGGAAGCAGCCGCGCTTTGGTTCCCGCGTGGGTGAGGCCAGACCCTGGATCTCACCCGCTCAGCACCGGCCCGGAACCGGCCCACGTCCTTTGTCCCAAACATAAGATCATGTCCTGTGTCTTTACCTCTTAATCATGTGACTTCCCACCTCGAATCTTATCGGCTGTGTTTTCAGGGTCCTTTTGAACAAATAATTTAAACTTTGGGTACTAATTAGTTACTTAATAGAGAAAGAATATCCGAGTCCCCTGTGGGCATATGAACTACTTCCACAAATGCCTGGGGGATTGAGAATGGGAGAGTTTATAATCTTCACACGTTACCTTAGATGTTTTAAAAGTAGATTAAAAACATCCCCCCAGTTTTTTTAAAATATATTTTATTGATTTTTTACAGAAGGAAGGGAGAAGGATAGAGAGTTAGAAACATAGATCAGCTGCCTCCTGCACACCCCCTACTGGGGATATGCCCGCAACCAAGGTACATGCCCTTGACCGGAATCGAACCTGGGACCCTTCAGTCCGAAGGCCGACGCTCTATCCACTGAGCCAAACCAGGCAGGGCCCCCCCAGTTTTAATGTTAATTCATTAACTGTCTCAATTTGCTAGAGAGTAGACAATGAAGCCATCAGTTCTTTTAGGTAGAAATTATTCTAAAATCGCCAACAGGAACCCAGGGAAGTTAAAGTTCACCTCAGTCACCCTGAGTCCTCTTCACCCCGAAGTATAATCGTAGGAAAGATCTCAGGGTGTTTTTAGAAAAAAACCAATTTCTCAGCAGAAAAGACGCAGTTTGCTTTATGACCAACAACGTCTTGAGTCCTCAGAGGTTGTGAGCGGCCTGACACAATGTCCTTGCCGTGGCCACAGTCGCCAGCGTGTTCCAGGAGAGAACGCGCGCGCGCGTGTGTGTGAGAAGGTAGCGTGACGTCATGCAACCACACGCAACGGAGACCGGAGGCTCCAGTCCAAGCTCTTTCTCCACTTTCACGGAGTCATTGCAACCCAGAAAGTGACCTTTTTCAAAAAAAAAAATACATATTTTTATTGATTTCAGAGAGGAAGGGAGAGGGAGAGAGAAACATCAATGATGAGAGAGAATCATTGATTAGCTGCCTCCTGCACGTCCCCTACTGGGGATTGGCCTACAACCTGGGCATGTGCCCTTGACTGGAATCGAACCCGGGACCCTTCAGTCTGCAGGCCGACGCTCTACCCACTGAGCGACACCAGCCAGGGCCCAGAGAGTGACCTTCTAACCTCCACCACAAGATAATAGGAATACGTTCCACCTCCCCTCCTGGGTGCAGTGTAGAT